GCGGGGCCACAGCAGAGGCCCCACCGCGCGCACATGCCCCTGGGCTCTGCTCTCTGCAGCGATCCCGACCGAGCTTCCCTCCCTCCCCTCCCTCCCCACTCACACCCCTTTGTCCTGCCCTAACCCAGCCTCCCCGACCAGAGCAGACTGGACCCAGACTGGTGGAACTGGGCAGATGGATTTTGTTTTGTTCCTTTAGGTTACAAAACAGAACCAACTGGGGGGTGGGGGGAGAGACAAACAAACAAACCCAGCCAGTTGTTTGATTTGGGAGGTACCTTCTGTAAGAGCCTTTTTCTTTCTTTTTCTTTTTCTTTTTTTCTGTTAACTCTCACCCGAGGATATTTTTCAAGAGTGTAAGGGAGGGAGGGAGAGAGAGAGAGAGAGAAACATTGATGAGAGAGACACATCAGCTCACACTCTGACCAGGGATCCAGCCTGCACCCTCCGTGCGGACCCTTGACCAGAATCAAACCCGGGACCCTTCAGTCCACAGGCCGACGCTCTATCCAGTGATCTGAGCCAGCTAAGGCTGTGAGAGTCTTATTTGTAAATGAGCAACAGCTGTCCCACCAGCACCCCACAACCCACGGAGCTTGCTTTTCTAGGTCACTCTGGTCCCCCAAACACCACTTTGCCCTGAGGCCTTTGAGTTTGAGAGCTTTGCCTTCTTGTCCTGATCCTGCCTGTGTGCTGCTCCTTTCTGTGCGGCCACCTTGACCTTCTCCTCTGCCCCCAGGTGGTCACCATGGCCCAGTGCTACTACAACGAGACCATCGGCTTCTTCTACAACAACAGCGGCAAGGAGCTGAGCTCCCACTGGCGGCCGAAGGACGTGGTGGTGGTGGCCCTGGGCCTGACGGTCAGCGTGCTGGTGCTGCTGACCAACCTGCTGATCATCGCGGCCATCGCCTCGAACCGCCGCTTCCACCAGCCCATTTACTACCTGCTTGGCAACCTGGCTGCCGCCGACCTCTTTGCCGGCGTGGCCTACCTCTTCCTCATGTTTCACACTGGCCCACGCACAGCCCGGCTCTCGCTCCAGGGCTGGTTCGTGCGGCAGGGTCTGCTGGACACAAGCCTGACGGCCTCGGTGGCCACGCTGCTGGCCATCGCCGTGGAGCGGCACCGCAGCGTGATGGCCGTGCAGCTGCACAGCCGCCTGCCGCGTGGCCGCGTCGTCATGCTCATTGTGGGAGTGTGGGTGGCTGCGCTGGGCCTGGGGCTGCTGCCCGCCCACTCCTGGCACTGCCTCTGTGCCCTGGACAGATGCTCACGCATGGCCCCCCTGCTCAGCCGCTCCTACCTGGCGGTCTGGGCCCTGTCCAGCCTGCTCGTCTTCCTGCTCATGGTGGCTGTCTACACCCGCATATTCTTCTACGTTCGTCGGCGGGTGCAGCGCATGGCGGAGCATGTCAGCTGCCACCCCCGTTACCGCGAGACCACACTCAGCCTGGTCAAGACTGTTGTCATCATCCTGGGTGAGTGGGACCCCACTTTCCCCCAACTCCTCCAAGACCTGATGGAAGAGTGTGATGGGAGGAGATGATTTGGGTGGGGAACGTTCTCCAAGGAGGTGATATCTGAGCAGAGAC